ACTGTTTGATGTTTTGCCAGATGCAGTGGTTCTATTCCTAGGACTCTAGGAGAATTATATAATGGGATATGGATTTTACAGAGGATTATGATGCATCTTTTGTATGGGATATTACAAACTTACGTCGCGTAATTTGGGTTAGAGTATCATTTGCTGTATTCTTTTAATAATGTTTTATCTTGCCGATCATAAGAAAAATGTTGCTCAACTTCTTTGTCAATTTCAATTAGTTGCTTCCATATTAGACAACATACCGACGTAGCATTTAACTTTCAAAGCTACTGTATCAAGTTCTGGAAGGATGTATGGTTAGGAGGGACGGTTCTGGGTGAGGAATTTCCAAGATGAAGAATTTAGCAAGGGACGCTAATGTAAAAATCTGTGATGGGGAATGTCAACTTGGTGGAAGGGAAGGAGCTAGGATTAGGGGGAGTGGAAATTTGATAGGAATGGCTTATATACATCGAGGAAGGCTTCTCATTATTGATAAAAGATAGGAGTATTTAGAATGTAGAATTTTGCAGGGAAATTCAGAGTAATATATATCAGGGAGGGTGACTGTTTTTGCTTGGAGGATGTTTTTGGACCGATTAGCTACAAAAAAAATCTAGCTTGCGGAGGAGTGATGGTGGATGATGGAGATTGCTCTTGCTTAAGATGCTGAGATGAATGAGAGGACGGCACCCATTTTATACTAATTAAGATGCAGGTGTGCATGCCAGATTTGGATGAGTTGCATGAGTTGGTGGGGCTTTACCTTTTTTCTCACAGATTCTATTCAAGATGCATTCAGACAACATGTTTAGGGCATGGTCAAAGGAAATTTGAAGAAGGCGTGGTCGTTCTTGTTTATTGTCATGGCTTGATCCATTTGGAAGGCAAGAAACAACTTTATTTTCAACGACTTGAAGACTCTGGAAAAGGTTTTTGAAGCGATTCAGTTAGATCTTTTTTTGTGGTAAAGGGCAAAGTTTCAGTATGCACCTTCTCTCTTTATGATTGGCGTAGCAATCAATCCCATTTCGTGTGCTGAGGGTATTTCATAGTTAGTTGGTTTTTGGTTTGGTTGATGAGGACATGGAAGGAATAACACAGTTTAACTCCCTTATAATAGAAATCAGAGCGGAAACTTAATTATTAACAAGAATGTGAAGTATAGGAATGGAAAGGCAGAACATTTACCATCAGAGCTTTGACTCAAGGACATGGGCTTGAAATTAGTTGAAGGTCCTTTGTGTTGTTGCTTGCAGGAATGTTCAGATTTTCTTAGTTGCATTGCATAGTGGAGGCGCAAGAAGCATTGGTATTTATTTCCAATTCAAGGTGCACGTCCCTCAATTTTTAATGATTTTTGAAGTCAGTTGAATGAAGTTCTGTTTGATTGTCTTAATTGTTTTGGAGAAAAGATGTGTGAATTTTTTTTGGGTGTAAAGGACTTAAGATATAGAAGACTAGAAGGCACTATTGCTAAGCATACCAAATTTTTGATAAAATGCCTGAGTAAGGAAGGGCTGATTTTGATAGTAGTTTCGGACAATTTTAGCTGCTTAGATTGCATTATCAAACATGTTATAAGATATAACATATTGAAGTACCCTTATATCTTCTCAATAAAATTTACTTTAAATTTGTTAAAAAAGGAAAAACTTTCAAAGCTAATAGCTCCATAATATTTGGCAAAAATTTGAATCAATTGAAATAGATAAGAAAAGCTGATTAAGAGGATTAAAAATAGTGACCAAATTGAAAGTGCTGTCAAAAAAAAAATTTTTTTAATCAGCAAGTGCTGTTAAAGATGAATAACTATTGGTATATTTACCAACAACTTTAATTTGAAAAATACTTCAAATAAGACCAAAACTAATTTAAATATACAAAATACCTCAAGAATTGGAAGCAGTGTTCCAGCTAGCTCCTTAGTGTTGCCATGGTGACCAGCACTTTTTATTGTATGATGACCTACCACAATTTTCCATTTTGCTATTGATGTTTTCAATGCAGAATCCACATCCTACATATAGAATTAAAAAAAAAAAATCAAAATTTTTAAAATTATTTTCTCTTAATTAAAATGATGAAAAAAATAATATTTAACTCTTTTTTAATATAAATATATATATTTTTTTGATAAGAATATAAATATTTTTAAATAGTTATTAGTTATTGGTTTTTAACCAAATTAATAACAATATTTAGACTACAACTTTAACCCGAAGATATTGCCATTAATTGTTAACTATTTTTAAGCGGTTAAATCAAATATTTTAATTAATAATACCATTAAGAGATTCTTAAGATATTTTTCTCTGGGCAATATGCCACTCCAGTCATAGTGATGGTCCTCAGGGTCGGTGAAAAATTTGTCCACGAAGGGGGTGGTATCCAAAAAGAAAAACTCCACAATATCTACCAAAAAAACAAATAAACATTAGTAAGACATAATTTAAAAGAAACACCAAAGCTAATTAATTTTGTTGATAAATAAAGCTAATCAATTAAGAGAGGATTAGTGCTTAATTAATTTACCAGCATCGACAATGAAAGATCTCAAGCAGAGCCACCTGCTGTCAATTCCTGTAAGAACAGGACTCAGCTGTGCCTCAACATCACCCCTATAGTCATGGTTACCCAACACTGCACAGTTCACAAAAAATGTAGTATTAATTAGCATTTTTTTTATTACCCATTTAGTTTCTAGAACTTACATTGAATCCAAACTAATTTAGAATTAAGTCATCCTAGGCACCAAAAGAGGGAAGCTTTCCTAATACATATTTCTCTTTTCACAAAACTCGAATTTAAGACCTTATTTAATAAGAACCGAACTCTTTTTACTCGAACTAACAGGTCATTATTGTATTGATTAGGATTTGGATTCAGATGAATCACTTACTTCCAAAGAGATTTTTTTAATTTTTTTAATGTGATAACAATAATTTTTTTAAATTAGTACTTGTTGACTTAAAAGCTTTGTAGTGTTTGAGAATAATGAATATTAATCCTAACTCTGAAAAAAAGTTAGAGTTTTAAGCTTAAACGAGATCATTTCATTTAATTAATATTCAATTCAAAATTTAAAAATCTATTTTATTAAATATTGATTCTTACATTTGAAAACTGAAAACTCAATTTAATATTCATAAATCTATTTTATTAAATGTTGATATGTATATTTAAAAACCTATTATATTAGAATAAGTAAGGATTCACTTACACGCAAATCTTACATATTACATTTACACAAAATCTCAACCATTCATCTTTTTACTTTTAATGGTTGTGATTTATTTATATTTATTAGAAATAATTGTATTTTTTATCTAAAAAGTTATAATAAACCTTAATTGTTAAAGATAGAAAGATCAATGATCAAAATATTGTATAAGTATAATGAATAAAATCTGTATATAAGTGGATCCCTTCTCTATTAGAATATATAATTAGTTTTTAAATCAAGATATCAACATTTAATAAGGTAGATTTCTGAATTTTTAATTAAATTTTTAATTAAATGAAACGACGTTATTTAAGGTTGTAACTTTAATTTTTTTAAGTATCAAAACTAATATGCACTATTCTTATTCTTTTTAAGCAATTAGATATAGTTTTTGAAAACTAGATATTAGCTATTGACTAACCCTTACACTTATTACTAACAATTAAACCAAACAAACCCTTAATTTCAAGATCAATTGATAAAAATACAATGTAAAAGTTTAACACTAATTTCTTCATGAGTGGTGCTATAGAGACAACTTTTTTATAGCACCTTTTGATATATCTTACATATATCATTAAATGAGTAAATGTATTCAATATCACGAATTTCACATGAATAAAAAGAACTAATTATTTAAATGATATGTTAAGATATATTAAAAGGTAATATAAAAAAATTATTCCAAAATCATTTTCCTTCATTGATAAAAAAAGTCATATTAAGTTGATAAACAATGTATGGAAAAAACAAAAAAATCAAGATATGAAATGGATGGGATCTTACCATTGTACCATTGTTTTTGCAAGCTAGGAGCAGTATAGATGTTCGTAAAAGACTCTTGGAATGCTGGATCATTAACTCCGGTCAATCCATTGTCGTAGAAATTGTCTCCAGTTGAGATTATGAGGTCGATATCCAATTTCTCCCCAGTTCTTCCCATCTAAAAATGTAAACAAATATTAGAGCCGGGCCAATCCTTTTGAGTAGTGATAAAATTGTTGTATTTCTCTCCAGTTGTTCCCATCTCTTTTATTAGTTATATCTCACTTTATTCTTACATAACTATTAAAAAACTTCATTTAACAAAATAATTGGTACCTATTTTTTCATTTCTGCATGCAAAGTCATTAGACAGAGTTCAAAAGCAAATTACGTTAGAGGCAAAATTTAAATTTGACTTTAAAATTACTTATAAATAAACTAGTTTTCAAAAAGCTATGAATACTAATTTTAAAAAAAAAATTACTTGTGAATTATTTTAAAAGTCAAATTTAAATTTTTTTCTCAAAAACGTTACGTTAGTACACATTTTTAATCTACATAAAAGTTAATCTACGTAAACGTTAAGCATAACCTTTTATAATTTAAAGAGTTAAATGCACTTACTTGAACTACAGGAAAATGCAATTTGCACTGTATATTATTCGGCCATAAGATATTGGGTCACTGACATGAAAAGGAAAGAAGGCATAATTGGGGAAAGTTGAAACAACGCAAAGAGGAGGCAATGGCGAATGCATTTTTCTTTTTTAAAATTAGGCTAGAACTCCAATTTCATACTGCATAAACTTAATAAAAGAAGTTTTTAATAAAGAGTAAGCCGTTACTGGACCACAAGAAAATTCTTGCAATGGCAATTTTTTTAATTTGGCAGAGAGTGGAGATATGGTGACGTGTCCCGTTATCCATGTAACCAGCTGCTTTTGGGACAGTTAAGGTCACACTCATAATTAGAGAAACAAAAAATTTGCTACTGTAGTCGTGTCGCAATATTATTGGGGGGAAGAAGACAAAAAAAGTTAATTTTGATTTCTTTGTGACACATCAAAAGGAACAACTTAATTTTTTTTTAGATAATGCTGACATGAAATATTAAAAAATTAGAAGGTTTTGTTCAATCCACGCCCATATGACTGCAGGTCTTTCCTCCCGTACATTCCACTCCCACCAATGGAATGAGATACCAATAATACAATAGTGACATATCTAGAATCAATGTATTTTGGAATCTCCCTGGAATTATTCTCTCTTTTTTTTTTTTTTTCTAATAGAGATTTTTACAGCACCAACGTTTGAAATTACAAAATATACCAAAGTTAGAAATTATAAAATATAAATTGAATAACCGGCTACAAATGATATGTATCCTGAATTAAAATTGTTCATCTATTGTGAGTGATGTATTCAAATTACACAAATTTTATTTTATTTTTTTTACTGAATATATGTAACTAATTTCAATATAATAAAAAAAAGTATAAAATAAGTCATAAAATGAAATTCATATTTCTATTTTCTGACCAATTGCATCAACCGTTTGGATTTTGATTTTTGTTAACATATTTTGTTGAATTTTTTTGTCTGAAAAATGAAGTAGTTGAATCAAGAAAAATTTTTACCTAAAAGAAATTATAATGGAAAGTAAAAGGAAGCGAATTTCACCTATGGAAAATTATGAAGGAAAATAAAGAAAACTGCTTATTGTTCATAAATTGATAACCTTCAAAGAAAATCCTACATATGCAAAAATTTTATATACCTGATGGTGAGAGATAGAAATTATTAACCACTGTCCGTCACACATACATATGGAAAGATAATGCTATTTTATAATTTATTTTGCACCAATATATTTTTTTAAGCATTTATGGAAAATTAATCTCTAATATAAAATACTTATTTTTTTATTAATAATTATAATAAATGCAATCTACTTGTGCAAGACGATTTATACTTTACTTTTCTAATATAGATATGCATCGAAATTAACCAACAGCCAAGAATTGAAGAAATACAAGACGAAGCAAAATTGATCACCTGAACAGCAACATGAGACTGATTGTAGAGTCCCCTTCTTCCCCAATCTCCAACTACCAAGAAGCTGAGAGATCGGTCGGCCTTGGTGCCTTGGACAAACTGCCGCAGCTCAGCCCTGCACGGCAATAGAAGAACCGCCACGGAAATAATGATCAGAGCTATTGACACTAATGGAGAAGCCATGCATAAAACGGAAGAAGAAGAATGGGAGAAAGTGGTCTAGTTGTATGGGAGTTTTAAGGCAAAGCGACGTCTATTTATATGGGGAAATATGATCCGTTATTATTTATTAACAAGGATAGGCAAAAGAAAGGAAAGCCCACCTAAATTAGGTTGTATTTATGACTAATAATCCAAAAAAGAGGACTGCTAGCTGCGGTCCCTTTGAACAGATAAACATGATCTGGTTTACCTTTAAAAGCAAAAATAAAGTGGCAAAATTAGAACTCGGATGTTGGAGAACGAGTGATCAAAGCGAGTGCAAGTAAGAGTCTACATCCACAAATGGACAGGAAAACCCACCGACCGTTTAA